CTTTAGTTAAGCATGCTCCCGTTATTAGATCCTTTAGGTAAGCATGCTCCCGTTATTAGATCCTTTAGTTAAGCATGCTCCCGTTATTAGATCCTTTAGGTAAGCATGCTCCCGTTATTAGATCCTTTAGTTAAGCATGCTCCCGTTATTAGATCCTTCTAATAACAGTGCAGGTGAATGTTTCTAAACCGGATAATATTAAAATTAAATAAGTTTTTGTTTTTTAAAAATTTAAATCAACACACAGTATGTAAATATCAGTGTTTATTGTAGGAATCCTGTAGAAAAGATGAAGATAACCTTGAGAGGAACTGAATAGCACAGAAAACGTTTTATAGCCACCAGCCAGCCTGTCTTAGATTAAAGTGACATTGGACATCAAGTTCGATAATTAAGGGTTGAGTGGAACATTCAGTTCGATAATTAAGGGTTGAGTGGAACAGCCATTTAGATAACTAAGGGTTGAGTGGGACATCCATTTCGGTAATTAAGGGTTGAGTGAAGCATCAAGTTCGATAACTAAGGGTTGAGTAAGACATCCATTGCGATAATTAAGGGTTGAGTGAAGCATCAAGTTCGATAATTAAGGGTTGAGTGAAGCATTAAGTTCGATAATTAAGGGTTGAATGGGATGATAAGAAAAGCTTTATTCACTCGTGTATTGGATTCATCCTGATTTCGTTGTGAGACTGCGTTTTTTTCCTGTTGTTGTTGTTAAAATGAAACATTTGTCTACAAAAATATTATATTTTTACTGAGATTGTCATGACTATCTTTTGAATGATAAGACTTTAAAGTATTCACTAATACATTGTCAAGGTAAATTTAAATCGTGAATTATTATTTTCTTATACATCATTGTGAGTCATCAATAATTATTGACAAAAAATTACACGCTTACTAATCATTTCAGTGAAAACTAATCTCTATTTTTTTCTATTTTAAACATAAATATAAAATATTTAAGGGCAATAAAAGATCTGTTGGTCGATCTAAATTGTACCATCCACTAACTTTAAAATAAAACACGCAAAGTCAGCCTTTATCATTAAAATATTCATCTAGCTTACTCTTAAACTCACTCAAATTTTCTGCCTCCACAACATCCGAAGGCAACCTATTCCAAAGGCCAACCACCCTCTTAGAAAAATAAAACAGTCTTAGCTGAAGATGACTCCTACCCTGTTAAACTTTATATTTGTGTCCTTTAGTCCTACCATTCTCAACATTAAGTATGGAAAAAAGAGGATGTATCAATTCCCTTAACAATTTTAGATACCTCAATCAGATCCTCTCTAACTTTTCTTTTTAAAACAGAAAACAAGTCGAAAGATCTTAACGTATTCTTGTATGACAACATTTTCAGCCCAGATATAATTCTAGCATCCCTCTTCTGAATCCTTTTTAACTATTCAATGTACTTTATGAGGCTAGGAGTCCAAGACTGAACACAATACTCCAAATGTGGCCTAACCAGTGATCTATACAATGATGTATAACCACTTTAGGCTTGTATTCAATGTTTCTGTAGATACAACCTAAAATCCTATTAGGCCTGCCACTAGTAACAACACATCTCTTCAGGTCTGATTTTTACTTCGACTTTGTTTATATGATTGTCAACTTTATTATAAATAAACCGATTGTAAGAATATATCTGACAGTTTTATTTAGCAATAATTTATCCTAAGTTTAGTGAGCTACTCAGTTATTAAAAAATGAACATGATAATTAAACCAGATAATTTTGGAACCATGCCTAATTATAAATGATAAATGAGTGCTCAATAACTTAAAAACTGTTGCAGATTGGGAATGAGACTTTAACTGGAAATATAACGTATGACTATATTGGGCAAAGAGTGACATTCTCATACTTGCTTTCTTATAAACCTTTTTATTTTAAATTAATCGAGAAAACTCTTGACACCAATGACCATGCAGATTTACGAATATCGAATAAACCAAGTGAATTGGAGCACCTTCTAGGTGAGTGTGACGTAGTCGTCAATTTAAATTATTTTAAGATAGTAACAAGGGCTATCGACAAAGTCTCTGTATAAAAGAGAGCTTACTCATTCATAGGCTGAGGCCTAAAATCAACCAAGTTAATTCAGCTTAAAAATTGTGTTTGTCTCATAACTTTAAAAAGTATAAACACAAGAAAAAGAAAAAACAACAATAACATATTTTAGCGCCATCTATCATAAACATTTGCATTTATTTTTATATGACATAGTAGTTTTTAAACCACAATAAATATATACATATTTCAAAAGACACGAAAAACAAACTCAAAGTGAACTCAGTACTTGTTATTTGGTTATGTTTACCAAATATGTTCAATAATCCATAAAACTTAAACATTGTTGTGAATATGAATTAAGCCTTTTTTATTTGATTATTACACACTATGAGAACTAATTACAATATAAATACTACTACTACTAATAAAACAAACGTTAATTTTTATTGCTATTTCGAGTACTCCGAAATAGCCGTCGAATCACGTCAACAGACAGCAATCTGGTAAGACTGATCTCAGATCAGAGATACGTAATATTCAGTTTTTCAGCGATGTTGAAATCTGTAAAGTACCATCTTCGGTTGAATCTTGAAGCAGGATTGATGCAACAGGAAAAGTAATTCAGTTTAAAAGATCACCCAAAACGAAAACAATTAACAGCAAGGAAAGGATGACTCGAATTTCACTAAAGTTTTCTGAAAAAAAACAACCAACTCACGAAGTGAGTGAAACAATAAAACCAAAAATAAAAGATTTTCAATTAAATTTGTCTTATAAGGAAACGTTTTAACATGAAATTATTTCTGTCACCTTTGGTTCCTTTTTTGATGTTACTAGAGGGTTAGTGTTATATTCATTTGCGTAAGAAAGAAACAATTTATTTTATAAAGCTTCTTGGTATTAGGCACTATTCTATTTAAACTTAATTATGCTGTAACTATTTTCACATTTGAACACTATAAAATGTAGGTAGGGTTAGGGTACAAGTACATTGTCTACTTTGCACCGTGCAAGTCGGTCCAATGTTTTCCTAACTCAGAGAAGTGGTGCCAACATTCTCCTAACTGAGGGAAGTGGTGCCAACATTTTCCTGACTGAGGGAAGTGGTGACAACTTTCTAACTGAGGGAAGTGGTGACAAATTTCTAACTGAGGGAAGTGGTGCCAACATTCTTCTAACTGAGGAAAGTGGTGCCAACATTCTCCTAACTGAGGGAAGTGGTGCCAACGTTATCCTAACTGAAAAAAGTGGTGCCAACATTCTCCTAACTGAGGGAAGTGGTGACAACGTTCTCCTAACTGAAAAAAGTGGTGCCAACATTATCCTAACTGAGGGAAGTGGTGCCAACATTATCCTAACTGAGGGAAGTGGTGCCAACATTCTCCTAACTCAAGGATGTG